TAGCTTTGTGCCTTTCCTGGGACTCACTTGGTAACCCAGGCTGGCCTTGAACTCACAGAGATCCGCCTGCCTCTGCCTCCTGAGTGCTGGGATCAAGGGTGTGTGCCATCATGCCCAACAGTTATCTATTGTCTTGATTTTTGAGGTTTCTCTCTCTCTCTCTCCCTCCCTCCCTCCCTCTCTCTCTCTCACTCTCTTCTTTTTTTTTAATTCTTTGTATATCTTAGATACCAACCCCCTCTCAGATGTATAATTCGTAAAGTTTTCTTTCCTTTCTGTATGTTGTTGCTTTGCCCAAATGATGTAGTCCTTTGCCATTCAGAAGCTTCTCAGCTTCATGGGGGCCCATGTATTAACTGTTGCTCTTAGTGTCTGTGCTATTGATGTCCTGTTTGGAAAGTCTTCCTTGTGTCAGTGAGTTTATGCTCATTCCTTACTTCCTCTTTTATCATATTCAGGATATCTGGTCTTGTCCTTGATCCATTTGGAGTTGAGTGTTGTGCAGGATGCTAAATATGGATCTGTTTGTATCTACATGCAGCTCTCCAGTTTGACCAGCAGCACCATGTGGTGAAGATGCTGTCTTGTCTCCAGTGTGTGTTTTCACTTTGTCAAAATTCAGGTTTACATAGGTGTGGACGTCCTGCGTTTTCAGTTCAGGTGCATTGGTCAGTGCCTGGTTTTATGCCAGTACCATGCTGTTTTCACTACTGTAGCTCTGTAGTGAGACCTCCAGCGGTTCCTTTGTTACTCACTGTTGTTTTAGCTATCCTGTTTTATGTGTGTGTGTGTGTTTCAATTTGAAGTTGAAAATTGCTTTCCCAGTGTCTGTGAGGAACTGTATTGGAGTTCTCTTGAATCTGTAGATTACTTTGGTAGGATGGCCATTTCACAACTTTAACCTACTGAACCATGAGCATGTGAGACCTTTATGTCTTCTGGCATCTTCTTCGGTGTCTTTATTATACAGTTCTTTCACTTGCTTGGTTAGAGTTAGCACCAGCTTTTTTTTTTTTTTTTTTTAATTTAACTTAATTTTGTATTTGAGGCTATTGAGAAAGAAAGGTGCTGTCCCCTGGTTTCTTTCTCAGTCTGTTTGACATTTGTATATAGGAGGGCTGCGGTTTTTGCATCTGGCTACTTTGCTGAAAGTGTTTACCAGCTGTAGAACTTCCTGGCGGAGTTTTAGGGTCTTGTATGTGTAAAATTATATCATCTGCAGATAAAGAGACTTTGACTTCTTCTTTTCCAGTTTGGATCCCTTCAGTTGTCTTGTTGCTCTTGCTGAGACTTCACGTTCTGTATTTAATAGCTATGGAGAGAGTGGACAGCCTTGTCTTGTTTCTGATTTGAGTGGGATTGCTTGGAATTTCTCTGTTAAAGTTGATGTTGGCCGTGGGCTTGCTGTAAATCACCTCTATTATGTTGAAGTATATCTCTTGTGTTCCCTAGTCTCTCTAGGACTTTCATCATGAAAGAATATTAGATTTGTCAAAGGCATTTCTGTATCTAATGAGAGGTTCATGTAATTTTTGTCTTTCTGTTTATGTGGTAGATTGCATTTATTGATTTATGTATGTTGAACCATCCCTTCATCTCTGGGGAAACCCACTTGATCATGGTGGATAACCTTTCTGATGTGTTCTTATATTCAGTTTTTAAGTATTTTGTTGAGAATTATTTGCATCTGTGTTCATAAGGAAATTTAATCTGTAATTTTCTTCTTAGTTGTCTTAGTGTGGTTTTGGTGTCATGGTAATAGTGGCCTTGTAAAACCAATTGGGAAATGCTTTCAGTTTCTATTTTGTGGAATAATTTGAGGAGTGTTGATGTTAATTCTTTTTTGAAGGTCTGATAGAATTCTGTGCTGAATCCATCTTGCTCTGGACTTTGTATCAATCCAGAGACTTTTAATTACTTCTATTTCACTAGAGGTCACCAGTCTGGTAAGTTGTATATATCAAGAAATTAATCCATTTCTTTTAAGTTTTCCAGTTTGGTGGAGTACAGATTTTAATTTTAATTTAATTTTTTATTGAAAATAGATTTTTTTCATATAATATATTCTGATATCAGTTTCCTCTCCCCCAACTCTTCCTTGATTCTCCCCACAAACCTAAATCCATGCCCTTTCTATTAGAATCATTAGAATATAAACAGGCATCTAAAAAAACCAAAATAATATAAGATAAACAAATTGGAGTAGTATGAAAAGGCATAAGAAAAACATATAGATGCTGAGAAACACACATTTGCACATAAAGAAATTCCATAAAAACACAACACTGGAAAACCATAATATATATTCAAAAGACCTATACAGAAAAGATAGAAGGAAGGAGAGAGAGAGAGAGAGAGAGAGAGAGAGAGAGAGAGAGAGAGAGAGAAAATTTAAAAAGAAGTGCCCAGACAAAGCATTATGAGACAAGGAACCTCCAAAAATGCCATTGAGTTCATTTTGTGTTGGCTGTCTACTCCTGGGCCTGGGATCTACCCAGTGAGACTCCATTGTGGTGATATTGTGTTCCCCCAAATATTGTGCACCCTAATAAACTTATCTGGGGTCAGAAAACAGAACAGCCACAATATTAAACATAGAGGTTAGGCAGTGGTAGCACACACCTTTAATCCTAGCATTCCAGAGGCAGAGATCCACCTGGATCTCTGTGAGTTCAAGGCCACACTGGAAACAGCCAGGCATGGTAATATGTAGAAGTAACCATCTTATTCAATAAGAAACACAGAGCCAATACAGAGATGAAAGCTAAGAGGTCAGTGCAATAGCTAAGAGCTAAAAACCTTACCCTTCACTGTCACTGCTGCCCTACCTCTCTGAAAGAGAGCTACTTCCTGTGTGTCTGTCTTTTTATAGTATTTCTGTTCTGCCTTCTCATTGGTTGTAAACCCAACCACATGACCACCTCGTCACTGCCTGTCTGTACAGACCTCCAGATCTTCTATGGTTGGTATTGAGCTTAAAGGCGTGTGTCTCCATGCTGGCTGTATTCTTGAATACACAGAGAGCTCTGCCTCCCAAGAGATGGGATTAAAGGCGTGCACCACCACTTCCCAGCTTCTGCGATGGCTTGCTATTAGCTCTGACCCCTAGGCAACTTTATTTATTAACATACAAATAAAATCACATTTCAGTATAAATAAAATATCACCATAGTAATAAGAACCATTAATCTCCGAGGCCAGCCTGGTCTCCAAAGCGAGTTCCAGGAAAGGCGCAAAGCTACACAGAGAAACCCTGTCTCGAAAAACCAAAAAAAAAAAAAAAGAACCATTAATCTCAGGAAGTGATGGCAGAAAGCAGAACGGTATATAAGGCATGAGGACCAGGAACTAGGCTGGTTAAGCTTTTAGGCTTTTGAGCAGCAGTTCAGCTGAGATCCATTCAGATGAGGACACAGAGGCTTCCAGTCTGAGGAAACAGGACCAGCTGAGGAATTGGCAAGGTGAGGTGGCTGTGGCTTGTTCTGCTTCTCTGATCTTCCAGCATTCACCCCAATACCTTGCTCCAGGTTTATTTTCATTAATAAGACCTTTTAAGATTCGTGTTACACTCCGTGGAGAAAACTGATTTTTTTCTTTGTGAGCAGTTATCAATTGGAAATAGCTTCTGGGTTAGAGATGGTGTCTTGTGTTTACTTCCCCTCTCAGCTCTGGGACCCTGTCTGGTTTAGACCACTGCAAGGACTGTGCATGCTAACAGTCTCTGTGAGTTCCTATGTGTGTCCGTCCTGCTGTGTTTAGAAGGCCTGTTTCCTTGGTATCCTCTATAGTTTCCCTGAGCTCTGAGGGGAGGGATTTGATTGAGAATTCCCATTGAGGACCGCGGGTTCCAAAGTCTCTCACTGTGCACTTTGGTCTGTTGTGGGTCTGCTGTTGTTCCCGTTTACTGCAGGGGGAGGCTTCTGACAACGGCTGAGGAGGGCACTGCTCTGTGAGGATGGCGGAATGTCACTGGAGTCACTGTGCTGCTACGTTCCTTTAGCAGAACAGGCGTGTTTGAAGTGCTCCTGTTTCAGTTCAGGTTCTTGGGCATCCAAGCAGTGTTGGGTATGGGAGTCCCCCATGGGGCGGGCCTTACGTCCATCAGATGATGGCTGGCTATGTGCACAGGCCCTGCGCCACTCCTGCACCGGTGTCTCTGGCCGGCAGCTCACTGTTGTGGACTGAAGGGTTTTTAGATGGCTTCTGTTTGCCTTTCTTCTCTGGTAATCTGCAGAGCACCTCCTAGTACCAAGAGGGCGGGTAGGTGGGGTGGAGGCTCTAGGTGGGCACCAGCTCGACTTTTCCATGCTCCGTGAGTTGTCTAGATGTTGTCTTTAGCCATAGGCCCTTACCATCAGTTTGTGGAGAACATCCCACAGCCCTGACAACAGCCTGGATGATCTGGGGGTGTCAATGGGGTTCCTTCGGCAAGAAACTTGATTAAATGTAACCCATTCCCAGAACTGGAAGTTTCATTTGTTGATGAGAGTTTCTAGTTGGGGCTTTGTCTACCCTGCTATTTGCTGATTCCATTTCTTCATGTGTGTATATATGGTAAGACGTTTCTACTGTGTTAGGTTTTCCTACAGCCCCACAAATGGCTCTTGTTTTCAGCTATCCCTTCCTGTATTCCCTCTCTCACCCCCTCTTCACTTCCCCTCCCCATTTGATGCTCTACCCCTCCATCCAGTAACTATCTGTTCAATTTGTCCTTCGTAGGAAGATCCAGCCCCAGGTCCGTTACTCTATACATAATCTCTGTGGTTATATGCACTGTAGCCTGCTTACTGAATGAAGACTTAACAGTTACCATCCACATATAAGCGAATATGTACCATATTTGTCATTTTGGATCTAGGTTACCTCACTCAGGATAGTTTTTTCTAGTTCTAACTATTTACCTGCACATTTCATGATTTCATTCTTTAAGCCGAATAATATTCCACTGTGTAATATACCACATTTTCTTTATCCATTCTTCTGTTGACAGACATCTAGGTTGTGTTGTTCTTTTTTTAAATGGTGGCTGCCTTTTAAGCCACAGCTGTCTGAATCAGCAACTGCAACTCCACCACTACCAGCAGCGGTTAGGCCGCCAGGGCGGTAGCCAGAGGGAAACCTGTTCCCTCCAGCTCCAGCTCTCGCAGACCTGCAAAGGGAACTTCACTAAACCTCTGTGGGATTTCAGTGGGAACTTGGAAGATAAGAATGTTGGTTGAGAGCAGTGCAGAGGATGGAGGCCTGGCTTGGGAAGTTTAAAGACGCTATCAGGGGCATTTGTTATTTTGAATTAATTTCTGTAATATATTTGTGTACTAATTAATACATATATGTATAGAGGATATTTTTTAAAGCACTAGGAATATCTTTTTATGCAGACAGGTCATAGGCAAGAAATATTCAGAATGTCATTTTGGGTTCTTTTTTTGCCATAGTTATTTCTTCTATGTAAATTTTATACTTCATAGATTATTATTACTATTTCTTTGGAGTGAAAATGTTTTCATGTAATTCTTGGATTGTTTCAGAAGTGGCTCGAAGCCATTGAGGAACACTCTGCGTACAGCACTCACTACTGTTCCCAGGACCAGGTGACTGACGAGGAAGAGGAAGATGAGGTTTCTCCCATGGACCTGAAGGAGTCTTTAGAGGTGAGCAGACACTATTCAAGCTGTATACCTAACTCAGCATGCTTTCTGGAAATGTCTGACCATGGAAATGCTATTGCTCTCTGTCTCCTTGCACTCTCCTGATCTACCTCTGCTGTGACAGTACTATAAAATGTCCTGGTGAAAATGTTGTCATGTTATTAACCTGTTTTTATGTTAAATACATTTGTTTTTGGAAACTGCCTCCAGTAGGTGGGAAATGTGGAGCCTGGCCTGCTCTCCTTTATGACTTCACTGCATATTTCAGTTTCAATAATGCAACCATAGTGACATATTTCTTGGTCAGTAGTTTCATTTAAAACTGCTTGCAATATGTATCGGGCACTGCTTAGGGATAGGGTAAAGCACAGTAATGAGTGGAGACATCCTTATCTGAAGTGACAACTCTACCTTATCCATTCCTGACAGTAGGTATTTTGTGGGGAGCAGGTGTTGATTACTTTTCTGGATATATCTTTAAAATGCATCTTGTTGGTCGTAAATGTTGGTGGATCTGGGAGAGTGAGATCTACAAGGGAACGCCTGTTTCAGTTTAAATAGTTCTCTCACAGCACATGAATTTTCCTACTAAATTTAATTATATGAAAATTAAGTGGGTTATTTAAAGGATTTGCATGTTTCTAAATAAACAAGTCTAATGAAGTTAAGTTTACTAATGTCTACAGAGTTTCATCCACATAAGAGCTTCTAATCTCAGATGAGAATGTTAGGCGCCATCATTCCTAATTTTAATTTATGGTAGAACTGCAGAACCTTTAGACTCATCCATGCTTTGTTGAAGATATCTGCTGGGCGTTGTTAATGATTGTCCCGTCTGTGCTGTTGTAAAGTAGAATAGAAATGTAATTCTTAGACCAGTGGATTTTACAAAAATCACATCTACCGGAACATTTAGAATGACGTCAAAACTTAGGAAATAGGGGCTGGAGAGCTCAGCGGTTAAGAATACTTGCTGTTCTTGTAGAGGAGCAGAGTCCAGGCCCTAGCACTCAGACCGTGTAATGCCAGCTCTAGGGCATTACAGTGCCCTTTCTCTGGCCTCTGTTGGCATCTGCACTCAGTGCACATTCACATAGAGAAAGACACACCTACACATAAGTAAAAATAAATCTTTTAAAACAGAGATTTGGAAAATAGGGAAGATTTAAATGCATGACTAAATGTTAAGTAAAGTTTTTAAAACTATGCTAAATGCTTTAAGATGTAGTCAATATTTCCTAAGTGAAGAGAATGCCTTCCTGTTTATTTACCTTCAATATGAGTGATAAATTGTATATGGATTTACAAAGCAAGTAGTATCTTCTGGGATTATGGTAATTTGAGACATTTTAAATGGGAGCTATAAGTAAAATGAAAACATATTAGCTTCCCTATGAAGACACATGGCTAAAGACAAATTTTTAAAAATATGTTTTTCAGATTTTCAAGCAGGTTATCAGTTCAGTTCTACATTGTATTTCATTCCTTTTTAAACATTTTTTTTCTTTTGACTTAAAACTATCAAGTTTTTCCCTTAAGCTATATGTAGTGCGTGTCTGAAGTCAGTGAGGATTTAGCCAGTGTGAGGAGTGTGTTCGGGTTTTTAGGCTGCAGACCGCTCTGTGCTGCTGTGGACTTTGGATGGTAACTGTGAGAGTTCTGATTCTCGTGTCTGGGCCCTTGTTCAGAATGGAGGAAATCTGAAATGGTGTGTGAATATTTGCAGGTGGCTTAGGCAGAATGACTCTAGATACTTGGACCCTTGGGTGAAGTTAAAGGAAATTCTGTGGGCCAGATGATGGAGCAAATTTATTCTTGGTGTCCACAGACACTGAGGAAGTCAGGTGCTGGGACTAACTAACATACTCACTAGTCGTTGAAATTAACTATAAACTAATCTTATTCCCTCAGCATTCCTTTTGACAAAAAGTAAGTGGGGCATGTGTCCGTATTGAGAAAGTAGCCATTCTGTGAACTTGGTCTCATTTTTTCATCCTTCAGACTGAGGCCTCTAAAAACGGAATAGCTTTTCCTTAAGCCTTTGTCACTGCCTTGAGGTTAAGGCTCTAAGGAGAAGAGAAACATTTCATGCTGTGTCAGAGTGTGCCAGGGAACAGCTTAGGAGAGGAAGCCAAGCTTCCTATTGGTTTGCAGGCCCAGTACCATCAATGCCAGCCATACATGACTGTTCCTATTTAAGTCAACAAAAAATACACTAAGATTTCACTAACTCACTTTGGCCTTATTTTGAAACAGTCTTGCTGTATAGCCCAGGCTGGCCTTGAACTGGCTTTGGCTTTCTGAGTGCTGGGATTACAGGCAAAGCTGTTGTAACTGGCTCAGTTTCTCATTTTAACCAGAAACATCTCAAGTGCTCAGGGTACAAGCGGGCAGAGTGTTTCTGTTGTCATCAATGGATGAACTCACAGACCCTTGGGTGGTGCTAACCACGTGAGTGAAGCACAGTCCTGATTAGTCTTAACAGTCAAAACCCGGAGTCAGATATCAGGGTGAACGCTGAAAGATCAGAGCAGCAGAACAGCAACCGCTAGAGACTACCCTGTCTCTATGAATCCTCAGACTGAATGAGGAGATCCTGTCTCCACGAATCCTCAAAGGCTTGAGATCCCAAGTGCTGGAACTAAGATGTATGCCACCACCAACCTGACCTGATTCTCTTTTAGACTGATTCAAGGGTGGCCTTGAACTCCTGATCTTCCTGCTTCCTCCTCTCAAGTGCTGGGATTAAAGGTGTGTGCTACCACTGCCTGGCCTGTATGGTTAACTAGTGGCTAGCTCGGCCCTCTGATCTCCAGGCAAGCTTTATTTGTCAGACCACAAACAAAATGTCATATCAGCAAGTGAGGGTTTGTTTGTTGGTGACACCTCAGTTCTTTAGGATCTCAACTGTATTTGTGGTATACAGAATAATTAACAGAGAATGCTAAATTTAAACCAAATGACAAAATAAAGTGAGTTTGTTTATTTAACTTATTTAGTTAAGTGATTCTTAACTAAAATGAATATGCAGCAAGGTGCACTTGCACAAACCGAGGGACTGATAAAGACAGTGCAGCCACATGATGTGGCAGACCTGAGGTGCTGATGAACTTGGGTGCATAGCCTGAAAAGAGTGGAGAGTCAGGTACAGTGGGCATACCTGTAATCCCAGCTCTCGGGAGGCTAAGGCAGCAGGATTGCCTAGAGCTTGAGGGTACCCTGGGCTACATAGTGATTTTTCAGGCTAGCCAGGGTTACATTTAGACCCTGCTTCAAAAAAGCAGAAACAGACTAACGGAAGCTATTACTTGGGTGAAAAGAAGGGTGGACAGTAGGATGTGCACATCCACGTTTATGTGGTGGAGCGGCCCCAGAGGGAGGGGAAATGGGCAGTTCCACTTGAGGATAGGGACCAGGGCAAGCAGGGGCTCCAGGGATGGCAGTCCAGTGTATGAGGGAGAGTCACTGCTCTTTCCAGATCACTTTAGTTTTTACTTTTCTGTGAATATCTATTACAGTGTAAAACATTAGGACAGTTGCAGGGTCAGGCCAGTCACCGGGCACCAGAAGAACAAACATGTGCTGTGGATTGCAAGCCTCACAAGAGAAGACAGAGTCTGGATCTGGCTGGAGTTAAGAAGCTTATAGGTGCCAGGCGGTGGTGGCGCATGCCTTTAATCCCAGCACTCGGGAGGCAGAGCCAGGCGGATGGATCTTTGTGAGTTACAGGCCAGCCTGGTCTACAGAGTGAGATCCAGGACAGGCACCAAAGCTACACAGAGAAACCGTGTCTCGAAAAAACAAAACAAAACAAAAGATGCTTATAGGTGGTCACTAGGTACTGCTCTCCACAGCACTGTTTCCTGCAAACCTTAGGGTCTACAGTCTGTTATTTTCAGGGATTTATGGTTTTGAACCTTGTGTGAACCCTTTGCCTGTCACACAGGACGCAGACCTTGCCCCCCACCTCACAGAGTCCTGTCTCTGGCTGTTGAGGCTCATGACAGCAGCGTTGTTAGAAGTGCTGTCCATTTCTTGCTCTCCAGTTGCATGGGGACAGAGCTGTACGGTCCATAGTGGTATGTATATTTAGTAGTTACCTTTTATTGCTAAATACTAAGGACTGTGCTTCTCTTCTTAATCAACTATAGATTCTCTAGCAAATAGCTGTAGCTCCTTCCTACCCACTCCCTTGATGCAGTTTTAAGTGACCCTCCTAGTCAGGACAAGGTGGATGAACATCATCTTGAGTCAGTGAAAGTGATAGCTAGAGAGTATGTGGACAGAAGTTGGAACAGGAGATGCGTGTTGTGGTGGACTGCTCACTGTTGGAGCTCTCTGGTGCACTGGGCTTCTGTGCTCATGGGTGTCACCCTTGTTCTGTAGATACTCTGCCAAGATAACTTGGATAAAGTTAAAAAATATTGTCAGATGTTAATATTAGGATAATGTTTACAGTGGGACTTCCCTTATATAATGAATAAATGAAATTTAAAACTCCAGCTTCCCTGGCATACGGTTAATGATGTAGAAGTCAACAGCGAGGCACCTGCTAGATGTCACAAAGTGTTCATAAGCACTACTTTTCTTGATACTGTGGCCTTGGCTTCTTCCTCAGTACCAGGATTGATAGATGAGTGGTTACTGCCTAGCCCAGAAGATTTTTTTTGCTTTTTATAACTATTAATGAGGGTGATGGTAAATTAGAAAATGTACTTTATTTTATTGTAGTGAAAACTTCTGTCCTATCTTAGTGTCAGTCAAGAGTTATGTTAATACTGGTGTTCATGGACTCTTCTGTAGCTAACTTTTATGTCCCTTTTAAACCAGTGGGCAAAGAAGCATTTTTTTAAAAAAGCTTTGACATAAATATGCTAAATGAAGGGGCATGTGACTCCAGTATTGACAGGTGGTACTGCGGAGGGTGTGGTTCACCTAGTGAGACCCAGGAGCTGTGCAGTGCATCTGATCAGAAGTCTGCAGATGGAGCTGGTGCTTCCTTAGCCCACCTGCACCATGGAAGGAAATGAGTAAGCAGTGGCATTGACTTCGCCATGAGCAGGAATAATAATGTGCATGGTGTGAGAATGGTCTTCTATTAATAAGTCAAGAGGGATGCATTTAGTTCAGTGAGTGTTTCTGGAGGGGCTTCCCGCCTTTCAACCTGTATCCACAGACAGTGTGGAAAAATGAGCAGCAAATCAGCCCTCTCTTTATAGGGTTTTAAATTACACAGTATAAGCATTCCTCTCTTGATAAATAAGTAAATGTATGTTATATTTAGATGTCATTAGGAGTCTCAAAACAGAAGGGCTAATACACATTTAAAAGAGAACATTACCTGTCACTAATGTGGCCCCATGAATAATTCTACTGTGGTTGGGTTGAGCTTTATAAGAGCTAAAAAATTTATAAAGTGAAATAGGAGAAAAGAGTGCTTACCTGTGTCACCTTGGCACACAGCTGCACTAGTTTAATTTTGAATAAGCAGATGTTTTGTGATGCACCAGTTTATGTTCCAAGGACAGAGTAAGAAGCTGAGTCCATTACTCTGCCCACAGTAGTGATTCTAATATTTACAAAGTCTTGGTTCACAGAATAAACATTTTCATTTACCACACCAGCAATTCCAGCATGATTTTCTTGCTTATTCTTTTTGCTATATAAAACCAGCTTAAAACCAACAGTGATTTGCACTTTGTTCTCTGAATCTGCTCCAGGCTGGGATGCAAGTTTGATGAGGAATTTTTGTATTCACGTTTTACTGCTAGGAATCTTCCTATGAAGAAATTTAAAGTTTCAAGGAAGACTGCTCTCCATCATTGACTTTACCTTGTTTTCACTTACTTAAGCTTCAACTTACTTAAGAAAATGTCCTGCTTGGTCTGATGGTGTGGGTGGTGGCAGTGTGTATTTAAAATGCTGAATGAAGAATCAGCTTGTGATTTCCAAATGTTAGGGCCATCTGGATTTTTTTTTAAACAAAAAACAATTTTAAAATGTATCCTTAAGAAATGCATTTAAGAAAAAAGAAATGCATTTTATAATTTTTTTGGGAAATTTATTCATATCTAGCAAATCAAAGAAATTAACTCTGAATATGCATGGTGTAATGAGAGAGCATTGCAAAATAATGCAGTTGTGTGCTGTCTGCATGACTGATGCTGAATGTGTTTGGAATTCAATACTTTTTTTATTAAACTACTCAATGAAATGTTTCATTCATATCCTTTTGTAAAGAGCCTTATGTATCTGAATTGCAAATTTTGATAGAAACATTAATGCATAAGTAATTTTGGAAGTCCTTTATTGGTTTAATTTTGCTTTTTTTTTCTTTCAGAGAGCACAAACATGTCAACAGAGACTAGATAGGGAAATTTACAACTTTCTCAAAATGATTAAGGAGTGTGACGTGGCCAAAGGTAAGGAGAGAGAGAGAGAGAGAGAGAGAGAGAGAGAGAGAGAGAGAGAGAGGAGAGAGAACATGAATTACCTTGACCCTCTGTCAATTTGTGGCTGCCCATTTTAGACTTTGTGTGTGTTGCTCTGGGTGAATGGGCACCATGCTTGCTTGTTTGTGCCATAGCTTGCCTGTGAGGACAGAGGACGACATATAGGAGTCAATTCTTTCCTTCCATCCCGTGAGTCCAAGGGAATGGCACTCGGGTTGTCAGACGTGGCTGTGTGAGACCTCTAACCACTGAGCTGTCTTGCCAGCTTCCGTTTCTCATTCTGATAACATTGCTTTGAAAAATGTTGGACTGATGCTTTCTTTTGCACCTGTGCTGGTATGTTCCTCCACACCCATTCTGCCGTGCCTTGTAGAACAAAGCTCCTTTCCTGAGACCTGCTTAGACTGGACCTCTGATGGGTTCAGCAGACAGGAAGGCCTCTCAAGGGATGGGTGGAGAGGGTGGGAGAAGTAGATCAAGGGCTTCTCTCTGCTCCTCTATAACAGGACCAATGGGGTTCGTCCTGGTGAGTGCACAGACCCATAGCACCGCCAGAGCAGACACTGATCCCTGAGTAAGGAGAGCACTGGCGTTGTTTGAACACAGTGCTGTGCTTGAACAAAGAGCGTTTATCAGGAGACCCACACATGCTCATACAGGAATGCACATGTAGGGGTGGGCACATTCCTGAGCATGCTCTGTTTAGGTTTACATTTCGGTTTACGTGCTTGGTGCAGAAAGGAAAGCTGGCAGAATCATTTCTGCTGTGGCAGAGAATTTAGCGTTACGAGCAAAGTTTCCTCCAGGTCACAGAAAGAACGAGGCACAGTGATGTAGTGATTATGGCTGTCTCATGTGAGTGTCTTCAGAGAGCCTTAGCTGAAATAAAAGAGAACCAGCTCTGAAAGCATGTTACCAGTCTCTAAAGGGGCAGCAGCTTTACTCTATAAGAATAGGAGCCTTGCCTTAGGGCTAACACAGCCTCCTGGGCCATGGCCCCACAGCTCTGTTGACTTCCCCTATCTGTCTCATGCCCCGGGTCTGTTTATGGCACCACTGCTTCATTCTTCGGGGTTCTTGGTCTTCCTGTCCCTTCCCTCCCCAGTGTGGCAGCTGCTGGTCCTGTTGCTTCACACAGCCCTCCTCACCCTGAGAGTGGTGTCTCCCAGCCTTAAGCATGACACAGATATGAAATCCCTGTTTCTCCCTCCCTCCCTCTGCCCTTTTCTTTTCTTTCTTCTCTCCATCCCCCTCCCCCCTTTCTCTGGGGAATGAAACAAATGGCTACTACTTATCTAGCTTATACACTTGCAACTTATTTCTCTAAGAGTCAGGGAGAAAGGAGTATATGTCTGGTTATTAGATGTGAGGTTGTTCAAATCACTAAGACCTTTTAGAAACAACCAAAATATGGCAGGCAGTGGTGGCGCACACCTTTAATCCCAGCACTAGGGAGGCAGACAGGTGGGTCTCTGAGTTCAAGGCCAGCCTGCTCTACAGAATTAAACCCTGTCTGGGTTTTAAAAAAAAAAAAGAGAGAGAGAGAGATGAAAGGAGGAAGAAAAAAGGAAGGGATGGAAGAAAGAAGGGAGTGAAGGAAGGAAGGGGGGGAGAGAGAGAAAAGAAGGAACGAATGATTGAACAAACCAGAATAGGGCGGAAGATGAGAAACTGCTGTGATTTGCATTCTGGCCCGCAGTTATCCCACAGTTAATACCTGTAGCTTTTTATATCATGCTCTTCCCCTCTGGGTTCACTGATTTATTTTAAATGTATTACATTTAATTTATTTTGTGTGCATGCATGTGTGTGTGTCTTAATTTTGCTCTTATTTGTTTCCACTTTTTTCTTGATTTCCCCCCTTGATTCATAGGTCTTAAGTATGCAAGGCTGGCCCTCTGATCTCTGAGCTACATCCCAGGCCTGATGCTGAACATTTTGAAGACACAGTCCCACCCTCTTCTGACTTCATGTTTTCAATGGGATGCTTTCCCGGCAGTCTGTCTTCTTTTCTGCCTCTTTTGGTGATGCACAGCTTCAGACTGTGCCTTTAATGTTCTGGTTTTACTCTGCCTGTAGGTTTGGATGTTCTTGCTCTGTGTATGACTTGCTTGAGTCTCTGTTCCTAGCATACATACTCAGTAGTGACCTTTAAATCATTTTCTCTTAAAATTTTTGTTCCTTTTTTCCTCTTGTACCAGAAGAGAAAAATGGCAGACGTGTGGAACTTTCTTATTTTATCCCCTAGCCCTTGGTCTCTGAAAATGCCCCCGTCTTTGTGTTGCAGTCAGATGTGCTGGTGTGTGCTGGCTCTGTGCGGGGATTGAATCTGGGCCTTGCCGTGCTAAGCAGGAATTCTGCTGAGCTGTTCCCGTTCCTTCTGTGCTGCGTTCTGATCATTCTAAGAATTGTTTTCTAGTTTGTTTCTCACTTTTGCCTCCTTTTTGGTTTAATCCCTTGACTTTGTAATGTCTAGTCCTCATGCCTTTCGGATTCCAGAAATTGAAGATGGAAGTTTTCAAATGTGTTTCGTAGGCTGAACGACCGCCCAGCAGATAAAGGTGCTTGCTGTGAAGTGACCTAGTGGTGACCTAGTTCAGTCCCTGAACCCCGCATGGGGCAAGAAGAGAACAGACTTCATGTTGCCCTTTGACCTCCACATGTGTGCCATGGTATGCACACACCTACATGTACACACACACACACACACAAAATAAAATGAATGTAAAAATATTTGTTTCTCCATGGCAACACGATCTTTCTAAAGTATAGGTAGTTATAATTGACTCTCTACTCATTACACAGATATCAATTTAAAGCCATAGTGCTGCTGCTGCCTGCTCCTGTTTAGTTGAGCTAATAGGGTCTCCTGGAAAGACCCAGCTTTCAAAAAATCATATTTAAATATGATTCATTCTTTTTCCTATTTACGTTACATTTTCTCCATGTATTCTGAAGTCTTCGAGCCTACCCCCCTTTCTAGATACAAGCTCTGCAAAGATAGACTTTGTCATTCTTTTTTTTTCCTCTGGAACTTTCTTTGTGCATTAAAATATTATTTTTATAACTCACAAATTAATATCTTTTTTGTAAAAATTTTTAATACAATATATTCTGACCATGGGTTTTCCCCAACAGCTCTTCTTAGATCCTCCCCTCCTCCCCACCCACCCAAGAAAGGGTGTGGAGACACCTTTATTTCTTCCTTTTTAGAAAGCATACAAACAAAACCCCCAAACAAACCAGAATATAAAAAGGAACAGAAAAGCACAAGAGGCATGCCCTTCTTAAAGGTTCGTCTCAGCACCTGGCCTGGTGCCTTCTGCATGGTCACTGCTCAGTCAACGGGACATGAGATCCTAACGCCTCTCTAGAGTTACCTTGCCCGTACCGTGACACTGTCCTCTCTAAGACAGTACTTCAGGTAGGACTTTTATCCAGCCTGCCTTCAGGAGCAATGATGCCAGTGCTCTTAAGGTTCAAGTCGGCCCTCTGCCTCACAGTTGCTTCCTCTGACCCATAATCACTCCCTTCACTGGGTGTCTGACAGTGTCAAAGAATGCTGCATTTGTTTGCTCTGAGTTTTATCACACACTGCTATCTTTTTATTGTTTAACCAGTTTAATACTGTGCTTTGAACTATGTATCTTATATTCTTTAGTGCAGTTACTATAAGTTACATACACATACAGATACCAATACATAGAGCATTCCGATGTACACACTCAGTGCATGACTGTTTCCAAACTAACATCTTAATTTGAGCCAGCTGGTCAGTTTATATTCTTGGGTTATCTATACTGTTCTATTTCTTGGGTTTTTTCTTTCAAGTTACAATTTTATACAGACGATTATTAAAAGATTTGATTTTTTTTTATTTGTATGTCTCATTGTCTTCACTTTCAGGAAAGAGTACTGATTTTGTGAGGAGTTTATTTGATTCTGATCCAGTAGGAAAGTCAGACTGAAAAATTACTTTTATTCTTTATGTGTATGCACACATGTAGACAGAGGTCATTTCTCAGCCACTCCCCTTGTTTTCTGAGGTAGCTTCTCAGTCGCCTGGATTTCCCAGGTAGCTGTGTGGTAAAGAGATGTAGAGTTTATGTGGATAGCAGAGTGGAGCAACAGATGCATGGGTTAGGGTTGCCATCAGCCCACAGAGATCTTTAAGGAGGATGACAGTTGAACTAGGGTTGGGAAGGCAATCCATATATTTTCCATCTGAGAAACTTGTGAATATTAGGACATGTGACACCTAGAGAAGTAATATCTCACACAAGGTCTAGAAGAAAAAAAAAGGAGGCTCTTCTAGGTAAACAGGTATTTTTAAACTAACAGCTTGGCTCACAGCAATGTTGATAGTGTCTTAGGATTAGAGAGAGTAATGGACTTGTTCTGTGATAGAAGGTTGCCTAAGTTGTGTGGTGATATATTGTGTACCCTAATAAAATTTGAGGATCAGAGGACAGAACAAGGCACTAGATTAAACATAGAGGCCAGGCAATGGTGGAATACACCTTTATCCTAGCACTTGAGAGGCAGAGATCCATCTGTATCTCTGAGTTCAAAGCCACCCTGGACTACATGAGGTTGACTCAGTCTAGGAGAGAAACAGAGCCAGGCAGTGGTGTCTTTGCTTTTTCTTCTTCTTCTTCTTCTTCTTCTTCTTCTTCTTCTTCTTCTTCTTCTTCTTCTTCTTCTTCTTCTTCTTCTTCTTCTTCTTCTTCTTTTTTTTTGTCTAAAATAAAAGAAGCTTATAACTAATATAAGAAAAACTATATACAATAAGTACAATAAGTATATATAATATATACAGTCAAGAATAACATTAACAATGTCCAGTCCATTAACATTTGACAAATTCAGAGAAAATACTCCATTATTTATCCTATTTTGGTGAGTCCAAAATGTTGTACCTAATTTACTTCCTATCCTAACTTGTATTACCAACCTAAAACTAGCTTTTGATGTGTTTCAAACTTATCCATCTTTAGTGAGTTTCGTTTTTGAATTTGTTAACAAGGAAAACTATATCTATTTTTTAACTCCCTCAGAAACCCAAGAAGGAAATAATATTTACAGAGTAAGCAGGAAGTGCAAACAAGCAACTTCCAAAAACTGTGAGAAATGACAGAAACAGCTGGCTGCCTGGACAGTCACCCAAGGTTCCTCTGCAATGTTGGGGCATCCATCTTCAGCCCACAGGTCTAGCATAAGTGACAGACTTATCTATGAAGCAGGATTTTCTGAAATGCTGCCCTACCTTGTCTTGGCAAGGTTTGGCAGTCCTTTCTTTTGTGTCCTGCTTGTCCAATTTGGACAGCACACTGTCAGCAGTCAAGGCAAGGGCATTTTCTTGCCCAGTGGCTAAAACTCCATGTGGAGTTTTCTTCAATGTTCATCATCTTCTCTGAAGTAGATTGGTGGCTGCCAGGAGCAGACATGTCTCATTGTCATACATCTTAAATGTATCTGAAGTGTTTGAAGATGACCTGTTTATCTAAAATATATATTTGACCTTGAAAATATACCTAATATGATTTATTTACAAGCTTGATTGTAATGACTACTAACTTGCATTTCTTTATATCCTAATTAGTTGGTAATAATAACTTTCAAGGACTAGCAATTTTCATTATATTGTTAAATTAACTGTTTAGGTACAATACCTTGAACAAGATTAGAAACATATATACAGTATGTTCTAACAAATTAATCTCAAATTTGTGTCAATACATAAAATTTGTATACATTATACAAAAATCCAATCCAATGTAAAATATTTAAAACTAGTAGTTGTTTTTTAACAGTAGATTCAATAATCTGCCATTTATCTCATATCTATATTCTCCCTCTTTTCAGAGTAGATTCAATAATCTACTTTTTTATCCTATCATTATCTTTTTTCTTTTCAGAGTAGATTTTCATAATACATGAGATTTAATTTGCTACATAGACAAAAGAATCAAGTATGTTCTAATTATTTTTAAAGCTTATCCAATTAAAAATTGTACAGTATAATCATGAAAAATGACAGATTGTGAGCTTTTTATATGTTTCTAAAGTTAAGCTTTTTCCAATATGATCTTCTAGCAGCTTTCATGACTTTAAAAATAATTTTAGTCCAAAAATAATTTTTACCTCAAACTTAGCAATTACATTATTATAGGAAGCCAAATAAGGTAACATAGTGGCTATTTTGCATTCATGCATGGCAGTTTAGTTGTTTCCATATATTAACAGCCTAAAACATGTTTTTGGTGATTCATAGTTGATCACCTTTCTAAAAGTCCAGATGTCCTTTCTTAATGTGTAGCAGTATGTAACTGTCTTTGTTAAGAGGTATGCCCGTGCGAACTGGCCTGTGTAATGCTGAGGTGGATCGTAAGCCAGGGGTCCTCAGCTCTTAAAGCAAACCGCCACAGAAGTTAAGGTTTATCTCAAGACCTTGTTTTAACAGTAATTTTCCAGAGAAATGAAACAATGTGTGTGTGCATGTGTGTTTGGAAAGCTTCTAGAATGAGTTTGCTGGAGTACATTTAAATATTCCTTGTGGGTTTGAGCAATATTTGTTTTGTATTAATCAAATACCTAAATCAGAAATTATCTACAAGGTAGGTTTTATTGGGGATGACTAAGTGTGTGATGGTATTTACTTAGAAAAAACAGATCCATGATTTTATCTTAATGTCATTTGTGTCACAAAAGTGGAAAATTACTAGATTACCCAGAACATTTATGGAAGACAAAGGCTGGATCTGTTTTTTCTTGTGCGTCTCACAGTAGTGTGCGACATCTGTTACGTTTCTATTGCTGGAGTCCCAGACATCCAGCATGTGCTACTTTCTTAGCCGTTTAACAAGCAAGTAGAGAATAAACCTTGATGGTGTGCATACCAAAGATCCAAAACGAAAGGCTAAGTATGTAAAGTCATATATTTCAGAGTGTAGCAGCTTTCAGCCATTTGTGTTCGTTTAGAGTGGCTGTCACTGGGGAACTGTTGGGGACCCAGGGACACCGTGGGCTCTGCCTGCCCTGATGTTAGGGAAGGTGGTCCATTTCTGTGTTGCTCGTTTTCCCCTTCTGTTGTTCTCTTCTGCCTTATGTTTGGATAAATAGTTTTCCTACACAGGACCCTTTTCCTTAAAATCACGTTAATGGAGACAGTCTTGGATATTTGAAGCAAGACTGAGGAAGATTGGTGTTTAGAGTCCACCACCCTTTGTGGTGATGTTAACGCTTCCACACATGTTTTTAGTGATGTCTCCTCAGACCATCACTACTCTCAAGCCGCAAGTGTTGGCATTGTAGTGGGACCTACTGCTCATGGCCTGACGTTTGCTAAGTTTTTCTTTGGCTTAATTGGCCTTGTCTGTGGTCTTAACATTGTTTTAAATAAGTCAAGATTATTTGAAATACAAAGAAAGCTGCAGATTTTTCTTTTTCAGTTTTATTTTAATGGAAAGTTTCTTAGATACTAAGAATTTTATTTAGTTGAAAGAGTAAATTTAAATGATTGCAGTGTGAAATTAACTGAAAGCCAAGCATTTATCTTGCATGAATCTGGACAGTCTACTCACAGCATTTTACTCACTGCAAGTGGTAAATGTCTGTTTTTCAGCTTTCTCTCACCTATATTGTTCTTGTTCTCTTTTTTCTCCCTTTTTTCCTTCCTTCCTTCCTTCCATCTTTCTTTTTTCTTTTCTTTCTTTCCTTTTTTTTTTTTTTTTTTTTTTTTTTTT